GGCAAATAGCATGTAATTATGGTATGGTCTATGTTGCCTTCCAAAATTTTCCCTTATAGCTTATAGCTGCATATTTGACACTCTTTTTTTCTATTTATTATCATTAAACTTCTATTTGTGAACTACACAGCCTTTCAGTGTCTAATTCCTTTAATGATGGTGCCTAATTCCTTTAATGATGGTGCTTTCACTAAAGCTTTCCTCTATTCTCAGGTGACTTTAGGGCATTCATGTTATTGTTTCTTCTTAATTAAGGCACGAGTTAGCATGTCAGGGTTTACACACTGTTTCAGTAGTGACTCCTCTGTTGATAAAAATCAGAGTCCATTGTGCCATGCGCATGTTAGACACCTTTCTTCACTAATTTGCCAGATATAATGTATTTGAGGGGATAATATGTGCTCTGGATGGTGATATGAGCAATACCAGTAAGGAGCTTAAACGATTGTACTGCCCAAACTGCTGCTAAGCATTTTTGCTCACAGGGATTGAGATTTACTTTTGTTCCCTGAAGCTTCCTGGATTCATAAGCTACTGGCACTAATTTGCCTGCCTTATTAGTTTGAAGTGGTGTTGCAGCTAAAGCCCCCTTTCATTTTCTGCTAAGTGAATTACAAATGGCCTTGATTCATCAGGGAAATGCAAAGCTGGAGCCATTAAGGTTTTTTGTTTTAAGGTACTTAAGGCTTCTTCTTGTTTGGGTCCCCAAAGCCACGGAGTCTTTTTCTTTTAACAGTTTCCACAATGGAAGCGTGATTTCTGCATACTTGTGAGTGACAGGTTTTAGAAAGTTAAATCCTCCAAGCAGGACTCTTAGGTAGTGGCGACGCATAGGGGGTGCATGGGGATGCACATGCACCCCCTGACAGGCCGCGCTCCCAGCTTGGGCAATGGGTGGGGAGGGCAGGCAGGAGTGCCAGTGCACCCCCTGCGAGTGCCAGCCGGGGAGTGGGGGCGCCAGGTAAAGCACTGCTGGCACTTCCGGGAGTACCACTGGCACTTCCTGGTCTGCAAGATTGGTCATTCCCCCCCCGCCACCAACTCAGGTGGCACCAGTCGCCCATGTCCTCAGGGAATGTGCATCTGTGGGCGCTGGCATCTTTATTAGGGCCTCCACTTTTTGCTGATCTACCTGTTTCCCCTCCTTTTTAATGATTATACCTAAATATGTTACTTGTGGTTGCACCAATTGGGCCTTTTCCAGGTTAACTTTAAACCCAATGTCTTGAATAAGAGTCGGAACGCTTTTGGTGAGCTGCTGTCCTTCTTTCTGTGTTTCTTCAAAAATGAAGATATTATTTACATAGGAAAAGACGAAGGGTCTTTCTCATGGAGACAGGCGATTTAGCATATTTATCACATGATGGTGTACTATGGCTGGGGAACTGTGAAAGTCCTGAGGCAGCTGGCAAAAAGTATATTGCTGCCCCTGCATCGTAAAATCAAACCTATCTTGTGATTCTTGGTGTAAAGGAATAGCAAAGAACAGTTTGCTAGGTCAGTTACAGAAAAGTATCTTGCTGTAGCTTGTACCTCCTGTATGACTTTTGTCATGTCAGCCACAATAGGAGCCATGGGTATCGTGCCTTTATTAACTTTACATCTCTTTCCTTCTTGTTGATGAGGCTGGAGAGTCGGATATAAATTGCTTCTACCTCTACCACGTTCTCCACTTATGCCTGTAGAGTGGCCCCTTTCTGATTTAAACTGGGCACCACTCTCATTAGTGTATGTGACTGTATCCAGGGCTGCTACAAATGGTACTCTTTTTTTGTTTAATCTGTGGAGCTGCATGGGTCATAATCTGCCTGACCTGATCCTGGATAGTGATTAGGGAATCAGGTTGCCCTGCGGCCGATGTCCCCATATTGGGGAGCGAGTGAGGCTGTCCAGTCTCAGAGAGCATTTACACCAAAATAGACTGTATGAAGGTTAGCTGCAGCGTGCCCCTGAGCGTCTATGGGCTGAGATACTCCTGCCATCAGATGTGTCGAGCCCTATCAATAAAGGTGCGGTTCAGGGTTGTCTTTGGGACCTTTCAAACATAGCTGCAGCTTGCACTTGCAACCATCGCCTTCCTATCTGTTCTCCCAGAACTGTCAAAAGAGGTAAAGCATTTGCATGTTTCCTGAACACCACCCGATCTACAATCCCTTGTAGTTTGGTGGCAGCACAGGTGGTAAAAAGGTGTTTGAACTCTTCTGTGGTTAACCCCTCCTGGACACTCAGTTGTAAGGCACAGATGGCCTACTGGGACAGATTTTTTTCTGGTTAAAATTCCCAGTGGTTGTGCCATGGCCTGTATGTCTAAAGTGGAGAGGGGAACTACAGTCCGGGGTATGGATGTTATGTGATCCTGATAATCCTTATTTTCAATAACCCGGGTAACTGCTGTAGCAGGTTTTCCTTCCCCATTCTGAATATCTCCATTCCATACCTTACGGGGGTCCAAAGGGGCCTCTTCCCAATCTTGAGCTTTACAATAATCTTCTGTAACCACAGCTGTCTGGCAAGTAGTAAAACCTAATTTTTGTTTTAGGTGTTTAATGATAGACTCACAATGGCTATGGCTGGCAGGGGCTTTTCCTTTTTCTAGGGTAAGCTGATGCACCCTACCCTTTAAAACCTCCGTTTCCTTTTTATATTTAGCCTGTTCATCCACCGTTCTTAACAATTCACCTTTTTTAAATTTTCCCTGCTTGGTATGCTTCCTGCAAAGGCTCCAACTGACTTTGAGCTCCCAGGGCTATAGCCTTCCATCTCTCTGGATTCTCCTTAACCTGCTGTAACTCTTTTTGTAGTGCACTGTTCTCATGTTCCTCTCCCGTTACTTTAGCATATGCGTCCTGGCATCCTACCCAAAGTAACCAAAAGACTGTGGGCAGGCAGCCAGCCAGCCCTTTATTATACTCGGTATAAAAAAAGGGGTTGGCTGCAGGTCCACAGTATGCTGGTCGCTGCTGGTCCATAGTTTGCCAGTCTGTGGTCATTTCCAGTTCGTGGCAGCCAACCTTCTTGTGGACTGGCAGCCAACCCTTCACGGTCCTGTACTGGGCCACAGCCCAGGGATTGGGAACCCCTGCCTTAGCCTCTTCACTGAGGCTTTCCCATTTCTTGGCTAGGTAGTCTGTTGGGTCTAGGAAAAGTGTCTAGGGCTTTGAAACCATCCTGGCACTAGGATGTGCTTCTGGGCAGGTCTGGGGTCTGGGCATTGGCCCAGGTACCCAGGAGAAATGTGTCCCTTTTTGGCCCAGTTGGTACAGGCTGAGGAGGTGTGCTCATAGGCCCACTGGCACTCAGTCGGGGACTGGACATCACCCTCACTGCTCACAGTAACAGTCACGTTATCAGCATACATTGCCACCTTAACTATAGGGCCAGCAGCTAGGGAGTTGGGGAGTGCCAGACCCATCAGACACTGCTGCAGCATGTGGAGCAATGGTTCAGGGGCTAGGACAGAGCATTCCAGAGAAAGGACAGCCCTGCTGGATGCCCCTCTATACCGGGAATGGGGCACATAGCTCTCTGTTCACTTTCACAAATCTAGAGATGTCCTAGGACAGGAGCTGGATCATTGAAGTGATGATGGGCACAAAACCAAAGGCTTCCATAGTCTGGAATAGGAAGTGGTAGTTGATCGAAGGGAGATCAGGATGATGTTCAAGCTGAACAGTTCAGCAGATTCCAGCAGGTCACATAGCAGAAACGGGTCATCCTAGATGGTTCTTCTAGGTATGCAGTAGCTCTATTTGGGGCCTACATCAGAAGCCATGACCATTTTGTGCCAGCTGGCCAGGGTTTAGGTCAGGATTTGTAATTAGCATACAGGAGAGATACTGGTTGTTGGTTATTAATTGTTATCATGATCCCCTTTTTTGGACATTAGTATGAGGACTGCTTGCCAGGGGAGGGGGAAGGAGAGTTTGTTTATTAAGCAAACAAAACAAAACAGAAATCGTTATTCCTCTTATCGAGTATCACGTGTGTCATGTTTAAACAGTGTGATGTCCATGCAACAATGTATTATTTCCTAGAGAGGACAGGTTTGTTGTGATAGTAGCCATTTATAATTAATATAAAATTTAAGCTAAGTCTGCTTCCATGAACTGACTAAATCACTGGTGTGGGAGTGTATTAGAAGTGCTGTCAGCCACTGAAGTGGAGAGACTTAGTAGTGCTGTTCAGAAGTTGTTTCTTCAGATGCCTTTTTTAGAGTGCTCTGGTAGCTAAGAAAACTAGTATCTGAGTCTTTGCATTTGAGGAACAAGTAAAATGTAAATGGAAGAGTTTCCAGACAAACGAAGCACAAGGTAATTTAAAACTATTTAACTGCCTGTGTAGATGCATTAATATTGTAATTTAACCATTAAAATACAAAGCTAAAGCAAGAGTATTGTCTGTTACAATGTAAATCTAAATATTACATATTTTGGCAGGTAGAATGTATTGATAACTACAAATTGGTGGAAGTATTCATGGGCAGTAAACAAGGTAAGTCAAAAAATGTTTCCCGAGCACAGCATGGTTGAGTGGCTATCGTGTATACCAGGGCTGTCCAACTTGTAACTGGTGGGGAGGGTCACACACCCCACAGGCCACACTCAGATGGACTGCAGCATCCCCCATCTCCCTGCTGAATCAAGCAGCAGGGTTCCCCTTGATGCTGCTCTGCGCCCCCCCAGTCACTTTCATTGCTGCTCTCTGTGTCCTGGCTGCAAGCTCCCTTGCAACTTCAGTGCTGCAAGTGCACTGAAGGCTGTACCATGATGCACCTCCCTGCCTCCTGGGCCAGGTGTAAGGGCAGGAAGGAGAAACTAGAGAGCTGGAAGCCTGTTGCAGCTGGAGCAATGGGAGGAGCAGTGGCCAGGTGGGAGCCCAGGGCTATAATTTAACCCTTTGGAGACTGTATGCAGCCCATGGGCCACCAGTTGGACAGCCCTAATACATACATACATGCATGTTTTTATTTTAATAAATGCCCCATTTAGTTTTTACAGATGATCCCTTTGAATTGAAAGTATACAACTACACTGAAATATTTAATTAGAAGTACTGTGTATTCTTTAAAAAATTGCTCCCACAGATTTTATTTAGTTTTTTTACTGTTAAGAAGGGGAGAAAGCACCTTTATGGGGATTAGTGCTACAAATGTGGGAATCCATGCTACGCTTGTGAGGTGAAATAAGGAGCAGGCTCTAAGGGAGACTACAGCAGGTTATGTTGAAAAGGGAATTATCTGGCTGAACTGTGGTTACAGAGAGGTTGTTAGCCATATTCATCTGAAGTCATCCAGAAGACAGGGCAAGGTATCACCTTATGGAATAATTTGAAGTAGGCTGTTGCCTATGAAGGCTTATGCATTTCTGAAAGAGTTAGTAATGGTTAGTCTATAAGGTGCCGCCTTGCCTTGTGCCCATAATATGGATTTACCAGTGGTTTTCATCAGGGATTGATCTTGCAGTCTACCCTGTTTTGATATCTTTTTATTAATGATCTTGGCACTGTACTTGGTATGTAGTTCTGGCATAGTGATCTACATGTGACATAGTCATGTGTTTCTAGTCACCAGATTGGGATATAAAAGTAGCTCCTCTAATGGGAAAGACATCTGATAATCTCATGCCTTCAGGATTTTCTGGTTGCCCGTTGAAACCAGAAAGAAAACATTTTCCCCTTGTGAGTGCTACTGGCTTCCTCTGAGGCACTGGAACATTGTTTACAGCTAAGACGTTTTTTTGACTGAGGTATACTGATGCTCCTGCCAGTACAAAAGCCTTGGAGGTCTTTGGAGCAGTTATTCCACTATGCTACGTTGTCATGGACTTTGGAGGGTTTGCCTTCATTTGTAGCATGGGGCATGGTCCTCTGCCTAGGATCCTCCTGGGTGTTTTTTAACCATTTCTCTACCATTGTAGTGGCAGAGTATTAGCAGTCTCTCATCTCCCCTGCTTTTATCAGAGGTGTGTTTAAAGGGGGTCCTTGATATTGTGGGTACTGTATAGAGGTGCACCGGTGTGACATCGGATTGGCACCAATTATAAAGAAAATAAAAAAAAAAATTGTGTTGTTAAAAGTATTTTCAGAGCTTTCTCACGATGGCTTATAGCTTAATATTTGTATATGTTGCTTGTGTAAATCAGAGCAGTAAATCAGAGTTAAAGACATTACATTCTCTTACAATAGTGAGCTAACCTTTTTATTGTTGATTCTAAATTAAGTGCTGAAATAACTTAAGCCTGGTAATTTATTTCAAATTTTTATTTTAGTTCAGCGGATGGTTTTGGATGACCAGGAATTGATCATAAACAGACTAAAGGATATAAGAAAGGTAAACAAAAAAGGAAAAGACAATTTATACTTCAGTTGGGTGACTGCTTTTTTTTCCTGCAAAATTTGTGAATAAATTTAGTTTTCATTACATTGAGGAACCACTGTCTGTCTATAGACTTCTATGTAGAACAGTTAAATATTGCAGCTTAAGGTGTAGTGATTTATAATTCTTTTCAGGCACAGAAAGTTTTGGTGATTAATGGGTTTTACATTTGAGTGCTCTGTGGTGTAGTGTGACAAATTCTGCTTTGTTGTAGACTTCAATACGTCAGATGAATCAAACAAGATTTTACATTGTACAAAATAATAAATCAGTTGTGCGAGTAAATCTGTTTGTTGGTGGTCTGCCACCTCAACTCTCAGCTGAAGACTATACTAACATCCTTAAGGAGGAATTAGCTATCAAAAGTAAGTAAACTAGCTTGAGAAACAGCTACTTTAAGATTCTTTTCTATTGAATAAAATTATATAGTAAACTCTCATCTCTTCTGAATTTCTTTTAATATGCTTGTGCCTGGTTTAGAGGTAAGTGTCATTTTTTTACATAGCTATTTTCCTCTGGATAGATGGATGGATGGATATATATATCTGAAATAGTACACCTTTTTCTTCTGTTTCATCACAGCCGACTGATTTTTGAATAAGGAAAAAGAAGTATGGACAGCTTGCTATATATGCTTTGAGGGATGGTGTTTGTGCTATTTCATTCACCTTCATATATGTCCACTTACATTAACCATTTAGTCTTTTTCTAAAACGATTATTAGTTCTTTTTAAAATAAAGTTAAATAGAGTTTTAATTCCCATTCCAAATATAGTTTTAATTCTGCAGGAATGCCAATTTTGGCACTGTGACTTAAATACATTTTAAGTGGGGGAAAAGAAAACAGTTCAAACCCCTCCCCCTGACCCCCCTCCCAAAAACCCACCCAAAAACCTTCTTCAAGGAATTCTAGCCATGCATGTTCCTTGTAGTGGTACACACTCTACATGCACTTTTACTTCAGTCTTTTTTGCCTTTGCAATAATTGCAAGGTGCTTCTTCCTTGTGCTTTGGAACAGGCAGTATCCTCAGTCTTCATCAACAGGTTCTTCTGTTCCTCAGTGCATGTTTTCAAGGGAATTTCCTATGCCCCTTTCTTACCATTAAGGCCAGTTATGACAAGAGACCTTCCTACAAAGTTGACTACGTATATTACTCAAATGTCTCAAAGGTCACAGTAAGGCAAGCATGCACATTGAGATCTTGGACCTCAGGAAAGATGTCAGGTTCTACAAGACTTTCTGCACTGTACTTAATGTTACTGCACCCAGCATTTTTGGACTAAATCACTGCTGTACTCTACATCAACTGGCAAAGTGGTGTAGTATCTTTCAGCTGTGCAGGAAACGACATGTAACTGATGCATTTACTGTTTACTCTTGGTGATGCATCTTCCAGTTCTTCAAAACAGCGGGGCAGTGTTTGCAACAGGTACACGTCTCCAAATCATGAATGATGGATTAAGAAATAGGTTTTGGGACATCTTTTCCAAGTGGTGTTACCTAGATGTCTTTCCCCCTTGTTGCCTTCCAGAGTAACAACTGGTGTACCTTCTGCTCTAGGGGAGGCCTCAGCTCTGATATCTTGTCTAAAGCTTTTTTATTTGTTGATGCCTGTCTAGTTAGGAGGAGGTATCAAGTGGGGTTCCTCAGGGATCTGTGGTGTGTCCACTATTGTTCAACATCTTCATTAATTATTTGGATCGTGGGTATCAAACATGCATCCAATCTGTGGAACCATTTCCTCTAGCCTACTGGTAGTCCAGTAGATTACTGGAAGCTAAGAGGTATGGCCTGCTGTAGAATTTGGGGTCCTTGGATACCAATGAACTGGCCATCATTGCTGCCCATATGCAGCCTGCATGCCTTGAGACCTGTGTTACTGCCCAGCTGCAGCTCTGAGCTGCTGCATGTCCCCTGGTCTGTGCTGCTACCCAGCTCAAGCCCCATTATGCTGCCTGCCCAGAGGCCCATACTGCCATACCACTTTGACAAACCTGGTTTGTTGTTCGTAGGATAGGATTGAGTGCACACTTAGCAGACTTGCAGATCTGGGTCGAGTTGCAGACGCTGGAGGACAGGGTTAGGATCCAGAATGACCTGGATAGACTGAAAAAAAATGATCCACAGTCAAGCAGGTGAGATTCAGCAAGAAAAAGTGAAAAGTCCTGCACTTGGGACAGGGACAAGAATTGCTTGCACAAATGGAGACTGGGGAATGACTGACTAGGCTGCAGTACTGCAGAGAAGGACGTGGGAGTTACAGTAGAGCATAAGCTGAATATGAACCACTGATATGCTCTTGTTACAAAAAGCCAACAGCGTACTGAGTTATGTTACCAGGAGTGTCACTTGGAAATCAAGGGAAGTGCTACTTCAGCTCTACTCAGCACTGGTGAGGCCTTACCTGGGAGTACTGTGTTGAGTTTTGGGGCCACATTTCAAGAAGCATGTGGAGGGTTTGGAAAGAGTCTAGCACACAGCAACAAAAATGATTAGAGGTCTGAGAAGAAAGACTTATGAGCAAAGGCTGAAAGAACTAGGGTTATTTAGTCTGGGAAAGAGAAGACTGTGGGAGGATTTGATAACTGTCTTCAAATACCTGAAGGGCAGTTACAGAGGGGATGGAAGTGCACTTTTCACTGTGGCCATAGGGCAGGGGCGGGCAATTATTTTGGGTGGAGGGCCACTTACTGAGTTTTGGCAAGCCATTGAGGGCTGCATGACAGGCAGCTAGGGGCAGATAAATATTAATTTTCTAAATTTTTTAGGGGCCCCACGGGATGGATAGAATGGCCTGGTGGGCCACATCTGGCCCCTGGGCTGCATTTTGCCCACCCCTGCCATGGGGGATAGGACTAGGAGCAATGGCCTCAAGCTGCAACAGAGGAAATTTCGGCTGGAGAGTAGATGACCTTGTGAGGTTCCTTCCAGTCCTAATTTCCTGTGTTCCTATGGGGAAAACTAATATTTGCTTTTCCACCTGCTCCTCTGAGTGCTGCACAAAGTCGGGTAAGATTCAGTCTCTCTGATCCTCCTGCCTCATTAAGTTCACTGTTTAGCCAGGTCAGCCTGCTGTTGCACTTACTCTTTCTTCATGTTGGGATAGCTCACTCCTGCACCTTTAATATGGTACAACCAGCTCTCCTTTTCCTCTCAGACATACCTTCCAGGGGATCCTGCCTGCCAGTTCCTTGAGTTATTAGTCTGCTTTTATCAAGTTTAGTGTCTTTATTCTTCTTCCTTGTTTTCCTCAAGATCCTGAACACTCTTGCTACATGCTCATTTTTACCCAAGTTACCTTTCTGCTTTATATTCTCAATTCCTCTCTTGTGAAAAGGAAATTGAGAAAAGTATTTCCGTAGTTAGCCTTTCCACCACCCATACCTAACATTTACCCCTGACACACTCCAAGAACTTGATGGACTGTCTGTGTACTGCTGTTTCCCTCCCAGCAGGTGTCATGCTAAAGTCCAGGGGAACCAGATCTTGGGTTTTGTTTTGTTTTTTTTTCTTCCTCAAACAACTGACATTTACAGACCTCTTTCTTCCAGTTTGGTGGTCTATAGCAGATATCCACCATATCACTGTTGCTGTTTTCCCTCTGGCCTTGACCCAGAGGCTTTCAGTCGACCTGTCAGTTCTCACTGCGCCTCAGAATAGGTGCCTGTCTTTTGCATACAGGGCATCACCTTCTCCTTTTTTCCCCGTCTCCTTGTCTTTCCTGTACAAATTATTTCCAAAGCTCAAAAATGTTACATTATTTCACCTGATCCAACTGATCTACCTGCCAATATCTTTCCAAAAACCTTCTTCTCAAAAGAAAAAGACGGTGTTGTATATTCCGGTCATTAAGAGGGCTGGTACCTTGTACTCGTAGGGAAGCACATGTTTCAGGTCATAACCACCATTCTTTTTTGCCACTCTAGCTATAAAGTCCAATGACTAAACGCATCTCTGACTTTATCAGTGTGTGCTACAAGACGGCAGAAGAGCACACTCTGCCAGAGCCCAGAGAACATCTCTGGCTTGTCTCAGATGTTCTGTTGCTGAGTCTCACTCCTTATGTACTTCATGCTTCTTTCGAGTTATCCAAAGTGGAATATACATGTAGATAAACTTGGAAGAGAAAAAATGGTTATAACTTTACTGAAGTTCTTTAAAACTTAGTTTACCAGATGCACCTCCATTTGCTATTCTTCATAGTCACATGCACCCTGGGATTTGGGGGTTGGAGAAAACTGAAAAGTTGGAGGCATATACAATCCTTTATGCTACAAGTGCAGAGCACATAAAAAAGCAGGACACGTACATCCCCTGTAGGTACTGCTAAGGCATAAAAAAGTCTTTGAACTTAATTATGTGAAGCATGATGAGGCATGCCATTCGAATTTCAAATCACACATTCAATTTATGGGGACATGTGAAGTGCAATATGCTTCTGGCCAGCCATCTTAAAGAGCTTCAGGGCGTTTATGCATGTGTTCCAGGGGCGGGTGGGAGGTGCTTTTAATTAAAACAGCTCAGATTAATCGAGTATGCTCCAACATGTTGTAATTACAGCGTGTTAGAGGAGCCTCCCTGCACATGTATAGGTACCCTCAGTTACTTTAAGAATAACTAATAACTTGTATCCTTTTTACAGTTAAAACATTTTACAAGCAGTTTTAGAGATCTGTCATGTACTGAGTCAATGGATCTCATGTTTTATTTTTCAAAATTAAATGCAGTGGGAAATTCGTTGCATTTTACCAAGCTTAAAAAAACAAAACAAAACACTGAAAGCAGTGTGTAATATTAGAATAAAGAAAATGTACTTGCTCATTCTAAACTTTATTTCTTATCTATATTTACCTTATTTAATCTACTGTTGTTTGAAATAAGCATGTTTATTTCTTGTAGGTGTACCAACTATTTAAATGCTTATTTTTTAATATTTGCAGGAAATCTAGTTTCTGTGATTCATGTTTATTCATCGCAAGGTAAGCCTTTAACTTTTTTAATTGAGTACAGCTTCAAAAATGCTATCAGACCCTTAAGCTAACAAGCTGAGAGAACATATTAGATCTCATAACTTAATCAGAAAGGTCTTAAAAATCAGATTTGTGTTGTATTGAATAAGACAATACATTTATTTTTAAATTTCAACATGGGGATGAGTTAGATATTAATAATCAGGGATCTGAGTTTCATGTTCGCCACGGGAAAACCTGGTAAAGCCTGTGTTGTCTCATTTTAAGGAGCAAACCCCAGATTTTCTCATTTAAAAGAGAAAAGGTTGGATTTTCTCCTTTAAAGGAGAAAAACATGGGAAACAGCAAGTTTCCTCTTGCAGGCTGGCAGAGTTGTAGCTTGTAAGGGGCTGGGGGAGAGTGAGAGAAGGGCTATTAGCAGGGGGTGC